ACAAAAGTCTACAAATATTTGTTTGGCGTTTGTTTAGGCAATGGTCTCATCGTGTATACAGTGGTGCACTTCAGGCGAATGCGAACCCTTTCCAATGTATTCTTAGCGAGTCTTGCTTTCGCTGATCTCTTATTGATATGTGTTTGCGTTCCCGTCAAGGTTTGTGCTTGCTTATATTTATTTATAGCCACTGTTATTTTTAATAATATTGCCCTTTACATTACATATTTTCTATGGTGCTACAAGTGATATATCTAATAATATTGGTTGTTAAGGCAACAATTTTTTTAATTAATATACTTATTCTTATTATTATAAAATATTTTGTTTTATAAATATTTATTGTAATGAAGCGGATCTTCAAATATTACATATAAATGCAAATATAAGTATAAATATTCATCAAATTCAATTTGAACAATGAGATGCTTTTTATTTATTTAGGGATTTATAGCGAACCCGTGCTTTAAATTGTAATTTTAAATAAGGAAATAATCATTTTTGAGTCAATTTTAAGTGTATTTTTTAAATCAATATTAGGCTCACAGTTTCATGACTCCGAGTCACACAGTATTCTCGATACATGTCATTGCATTAAAATGCATACAAATACAGCTAATATTTTATTTAATAAGAGGTTTATTATCTATTTTCGATGTACTTAACAATGCACTTATGTTTTGCTAGTATACGAATGTCCGTACATTTGTTTAAGTGAATACAACACTTGAATTATAGACAACAACACTATATTTCGGGAAATCATTGAATTTTGCCAAATATTGCTTTAGAGAATAATTACAGATAAGGGACCTACATGTTATTTGTAATTTTTGTACTAGTATATTCTAGTAACATATCACAAATTTTGCTTTTTCTATACACGAGCTAAACTAATAATTTTTAAAAGCAACAAAATATGACACTAGTTTTTAAAAATTATTTTTAAAAGTAATAAATACAATTTATATCTAGCTAGTATAGTATAAAGGCTATACTTTTATTGTCCAACATTTCGTCTCAAATGACGTATTTTATATCATATATACTGCCAGGGAATCAAATAATATCATACTTTCTCACATCGACTCAAAAAATAATAAAATAAGTTTTATTCTCACAGAAAAATAAGCAAAAAAATTATTTAAAGATTGAAAAATTTAAAGCAACAACAGATGTCATACATTGTTATTGAATTAGCCTTCTCTGCATGCAGTCTGGTCTAAAATTTTCAAATTATTAATACACCTACTCTTAAAGTCATTAAATAAAAGTTAAATGAAAGTTTCTATATTAATACCCATGTAATTCTTATGGACTCAAATGGTATTTAATTTCATGCAATTTTAGGCACAGCTTTGCACTTAAGCTCTAACTTTCGCTTATCTTTAAGTGTGTCTTCCGTTTTCTCCCATAAAACACATTATATTTACTGATAAATGCAATGATTGTCATTTATTTCATTTCACTTCAAGTGTTACTTTAGATTAGTTTATTAATAATTTTAAAATTTTAAATTAAAAGTTGGGAATAACATTTACTACAAAAAATATTTTATTTATCTACTAATTTATTTAATAGCTAATTTTAGTTTATATTGTTACAATTTTTGTTTAAAATTAACCAATCTAAGATATCAGTATTGCTATTTGCAAATGAGATTTGTCTCAAATCATTAGAGATATTATAATAAATTGTGTCATAATGTAAACACTATATTTTATATGATGATGTGCTTCAATATTTATTGCCACTTATAAATTAAACATAATTTCAAACCTTATTAATGACTAAAATAATAACTATTTCTAGATCATTTAATCCAATATGATTACACGGAATTTATTTCATTTAGCCAAATTACTTGCTTATTAATATACTGATAAATATAATTATAATCTATCATATTTCTGAATATACTAATAAATATTATCACAATTCAGACTCAATTAATTCTGGACATAATTGGGGCTAATAATGAAAATTATCTCTATTTTTGTCGTACAGTTCGCACAGTTATTCTCGTATACGTGGGAATTGGGAGAATTTGGCTGTAAATTCGTTCACTACATGCAAAACGTCAGCTCTATTTGCTCGGTGTTTACGCTCACTATCATGAGTATTGAACGGTAGGCTCGTATTCATATCATTCATTTTTCATAAAGTATACCCTATTCTTGGCTATTATTGTCATTTAAATTACCAACACACTTCTATGTACTGTATTTACAAATATTTATCCAAATTATTATAATTTTCTTTAATTATTGTATTATGTATTTTAGAGTAGAAGTCTTTAAGTTATTATATATTTATTGCAAATACAGGTAATAGACAAATATTTATTATCANACACACTTCTATGTACTGTATTTACAAATATTTATCCAAATTATTATAATTTTCTTTAATTATTGTATTATGTATTTTAGAGTAGAAGTCTTTAAGTTATTATATATTTATTGCAAATACAGGTAATAGACAAATATTTATTATCACTTCTGCTAAACTGACAAAATGTGAACAAAAAGCATAATATAATTCAATATTAAGGCGAACCCTCATTGAAAACGAAAAAATGCATAAAAATATAATTTTATTGTCGACTCTAAAGTAAAATATATAGAAAAATGTTTTCATCAAATTAAAACCAAATATTAATATAATTATTCAATACAATAAGGATTGAGTAGTTTTCCATATATTGATATAAATAGAAATATTTTAATTTCTATAAAATAATACTTAAAAAGAACTTTAAAAGAATTTTATATGAATTTTAAAAAAATAAAAATGCCATGCCATACATTATATTGTTTTACTATTTTTAAAGTCAAATCATAATATATTATATCGATTCATACATTTTAAAGTATGGCTTAAAATACAATAAAACTCATGCATTAAAATAAGTGGGATTTAAAGGGAAAAAAGTTTTTTAAAGTTTGCAATTCATTGCGTTTATATGAGAGTCAATAAAATGAAATATTTGAACCCAAAGGCAAAAATATATTTTAAAAATATGCGCTCAATGATATGCTCATTGGTAAGTGAGTTATACATATGTTTAATTTAATTATTTAAACCCAGAAAAATAAAAATTCAAAGAATCTGACATTTGCGAAAATAATTTCTGATATAATTATATAGAAAAACAATTTTTTATTACGAAAACCAGAATTCTTTTCATGAATTTCGCAAATATATAATTTAATTAAACATTCACAGAATATTCTTTAGTTGTTTTGCGAAGTGAATTAAAAATTATAACAAAACTATTCTATAATATGTTTAGAAATGTTTTAATTGTATAGAAAATCACATTAAAAACCATTAAAACAGTGCTTCCCATCAGAGTTATAGAGTTGTGTTAAACAGTCGACTATATAGGGGTTGGGATCGCAGATCAATACGGAATGGCTTTGTATTGATTCACAAATTGATTCAAACTGTCTGTTGCTCTCAAACGCTTAGCATTTGATTGTTTTGTACAACAAACAAGAGAATCCTATGTTTTAAATAAAATAAATTGCCAAAACAAAACACAAATTTTATAGATTTATCTGATTTCCAATGCAATGGACGAATGAACACAACAAATGCTAACAGAAGTAACATTTTTGACTGATTTCTTATGATTTGATTCCTGTTTAGGAATTGTTATATATATATAATATATACAGAATAATATGATATATATATATATATATATATACACTCAGGTTTACATATGTTTGCTTACCAGAGACACTATATTTAGACACATTTATTGCAATAAAAGTTGTTTTCCATTGAAATAATAACCCGAGAGATATACATAACAGAAAACATGCAATTTGTGTTGTTTTTACGGTAATGTAAAGAATTTCTCATAAATCTAAATATGAAGCACACAAGAAATATGTGTTAAATCTATTCATAGACAAAAAAATTTAAAGAATATTTATCTCAATTGTGAGCCAAAGTATAGACAAAAAAGCAAACTTTATTGAAATGCAATTGTTATCTAACATAAAATGCTTGTAAAATAACAGAATATAAAATAAAGCTTTAAATAAATAAAGCAAAAAACTCTTTTCCCTGTATATAACCTTTGCTTATAGTAATGCTTTTTATTGAACGACTTCTTAAATAACAATTTTATTGTTATCATCCAATCGTCCGACTCTTATAATGTAATTATATCCCATTTTATCGGAAGTTTGTCTCAAAATTCACGTTAAATCTGTTTTTAGTTTTGCGAAAATGTTTATAGCATTTATAATGCAATTTAGTATTAATTCAAATGTCTTTACGAATAGAGAATTTATGAACATTTTTATATTTATATTAGTTTTAATGATGTTTACAATGCTCTACTAGTAAATATGAATTTCATAACTTATCATCAAATATGATATAATATCAATAATTAATATACTGGATTTATTTTTATTTTCTTTATTACTCCACTCACCACATGTACTGTATTACCATTTTTGTCTGTAAAACAGCCTCTAAACATCATTTATAGTATTTATAAAAATTTATATTAAAATATGCCTGTGTTTGATTTGTTTTTTAGAGTTTAACATTTGGTTTTGACATTATATTTAAATTTTTTTATACAAGTTGGTAGTTTATTAATAGTTAATATTTGTTTGTCACTCACATCCTTAAAATGTTTTTACAAAATACCACAATATACCTACAAGTATTATTTATTTTGTATAAAATGTTTTCACAATAAATGTCACATTAATATTATTTAACGTGAATACCGGTAATTAATAATATAGTCTTTATGTAACTGTTATAAATTAAATAATCAAGTTATCTGAGAAAATTTCTAATTTTAAAAATAGTATTAATATAATATTTTTTATACAATTTTTTAATGAAACTTTGAGGCATCTAATGAATCACAAACAAATTAGAAATGATAATTTGTTTTACAAGTTATAACTAGTATTTTTTAAATTCAATCAAAAAATTAATTTATAAATTTTCATTATGAATATTTAATAATTTTAAAGTACAACGTTAACTCTCTCAAGAATTAGCAAATTTACAAAACTAATGATAAAATTGAGCAAAAATTTACTTAATTAACAAAAATGGCATAAAATTCTGTAATTATATTAACTTTTATTCTTATGCTCTCTTATATGTCAAACACACACTTGTGATTCACTGCAATCACTACCAGATTTGCAATTATTACATGTAAAACAATTATTTCTTATAAGTTATAACAAACCCGAAGGTCATTACATTATATAAATATCATAGCATTGCATAGCAATAAATAATATGATGAATTGGTTTTTTGCTTTTTTGTCGATACAGTAATCTAAGTATATCTATATTATCACTAATTTATTGACTTTTCTCTTTCTCTCACTCTATTCCCAATGAATGTGTGATTCAACAGATACTACGCTATTATACATCCCGTCAAATGCAGAGCCACTTTCAACATGAATTACATGAAAAAGATAATTATATTCATTTGGGTCATGTCTATACTGCTAGCGGCACCGGTGCTCTACATTCAGGTATAGTCGCAATCAGATTCATACGCGGATTCTACATATAATTATAGCCAGAATCTAGTCGTTAATTCTGATTAAACATGAATCCAAAGTATTTGACATTTGGTTTTGTGCCGACCGTTAGGTTCACATAGAAGTTGGTTTCAGAGTGAAGGCCTTCTGGTGTGTTAAGGACTGGGGACTGACTATATTGTGGCCCATCTATGAGTGTTACATGATTTTGTTGATTCTCATACTACCATCCCTGGTCATGGCCTACACATACACGTGTATCTGCCATCAGCTATGGATTGTGGTTCAGCAAAGGGCTGGTATGGTCTGCGGGCGCGACAACTTGTAAGTGATGTTTTTGGACAC